GATGCCGTGTTGGCTGACCAGCTAGAAAGGGCCAGCCCCTCCAGACCTCCTTTCCTTGGCCAAATCCCTATGAAGGTCATGTGGCTCCAAGTTCTCAGGCATCACCCCCACCTTCAGCTACAGAAACACATCAGTTCTTTATTCATCCAGTAAATAATGTATCAAGAGCTTACACTGTGCCCTGCATTCAGAGTCCAGGGCAAACACCCGTTTTAGTGGAGGCATTCTTCTGGCCACTTAGAAATGAGCATCAGTTGTGCTCAATGCTAGGACTATAGCAATGAAGGTGATGTGGCGCCTCTCTTCAAGGAGCTCGTGGTCTGCCGAGGAAGAAGATGGCTCCCATGGCATGACAGCACTGAGGTTTTACAGAGGCAGGCCAGAGGGGCGGGAGCAGGGGTACCACTTGGTGAATGCTCCACGTGGGTCCCGAGGGTAAGTAGGCGGTTTTCAGGTGAACGGGATAGGCGGAAGTTTCCATAGAGAAGGAACAGCTCCATGAAGATTCTGAAACAAGGTGGAAGAGGGCTACTTGAACTAGATCGGGTAGCACTATATTAACACCATTATACATTCTTAAACATGCATTGGATTCTGTTTGACATCAGGATGGGAAGAATTTCAGCGTGGATGGGCAGTTGAGAATGGCGGTCCAGAGAGCTCAGATGACTCTCCAAAGTCATACCATTAGTTACCGGAGTTAGAACTAGGGACTGACTCCCTGCCCGGGGTGCTTTCCACTACAGCGCCTCCCACATCTCCCTGACCGACACTCGAGGGTCGTTTCTTATTTGCTTGATTGTGTTTTGAGGTGTTCTTGTCTCTCCAACAGTTTCCTCTCTTGACCCCAAACCTGGTCACTGTGCTCGGGAAGCAGTCAGGCAGATCTTCCTCCTCACTGGTGTCAGTAAGGGTACCTCGGTCAGGTCCTGTAGGATTGGACTAATGCCAGCATGTGTGATGCGCCCCTCCCCCCTTGGCCTGGCATGAGCGCTCCTTCCTGGCAGAGTTCACTCAACCTAATTGCTTGTTTTATACCCCAGCTGCCTGACATATGCCAAACCCATGTGTTGACTCACTTGTGTCAAAGACAGCTACACTGGAGCATTTCAAATTGGCTCTGGGGAGCTCCGGCAAGCAAGTGGGGACTGTAATTCATGCATTTACAACCCCAGCACATAGCTTATGAAGTAGGTGCCCAGGTTTTTAATTCAAGTGAATTTCAGTGACTGCAGGTACACAACATCGTGGTGAGAGTTAAGGACCTGGAAGTGAGAAGTCCTAGCTTGGTGCATCAGTTCAGCCAGTTGAGGTCTTGGCTGTATGACCTTGAGCAAGTCTCTCCTCTCTGCGTTTCAAGTCCTTGATCATTTTTTCACCTAACCGACACTCAGGGAGCAAGATCCCGTGCTTACTCTAGCCACTGAAGATGTGGTCCCAGCCCTCCTCCGGCTCACACATACACACAAATGTGTAAATTCAGCTCTGTAAATGTGAATGATAGAATTCTATGACTCTCACGGCCATGGAGAGGTACTTGGAAGTATCTAGAGGAGCCTAGAGGAGAGGTGATTAATTGTGCCAGGAAGAGTCGGTAACAGCCTCGCTGAGGTGATGACAGCTTAGATGGGAATCTGAGGACAGGGAGAAAATAATACCCAGAACTCCATGATGCACAGACAGTGACCAAGGAAAAGCAAAACATGTCAGACATAGGACTGGTCATAAGGGGGTCATGTGAGCCAGCCAGGGAGCCAAATGTGTGACCGTGAGCTGCACCCCACGTTAATGATTTCTCACCAAGGTGGTCTTCCACCATAGAATTTCAGAGTCAAAGCAGCAGCTATTTCTTAGCCACATTGACCCTTAGTGTGGGGTCAGTGTTCCAGGGGTGCACAGAAGCTGGCTCGTGCCAGCTCACAGGAGCTGAGAATGAAATGTTCAGGAATTCTGCAAGCTAGTGTTTGAACACTACTGTTATTAAAAAATTAAATTATATGAAATTAAAAGTAAATAAGTTATATTAAAAACAAAGGTAATAAATAATCCAAGCCCATCACTTCCTAATTATTTTACTGTATTTTACTATTATCTTTGCTCCTGAGTTTCTTAGGACTATTGTGTCTCTGTGGTGGAAATACTGTATAATGGGGTCCTCCCGTGCATCTCTTCCCAACTCTGGGTTCAGTGGCATCTCATTAAGAGTGTGAAATCAGCCACGGCAGAAGTATTTACACCACAGAAATAAGCAAAGGCTACAAATTCAAGCTATTTTTCTTTTGAAAGCCGATTGTTAAATGTTTACCAGTACACCACGGGTGGTGTCCATTAAATAAATGGGAAAGCGTTTGGAAGCCCAGCACCCACACCTTTTCCGACCTCCCTGGACAAAAACACATGGCAGGAGACACATTTCGGAGGTCTCCACAGAGCAGACTTCTCCCATCTCCTTTGTCCCAGAGAAGTCTTCATGTTAAATTGGGTCTTCTTGACAACTGAAAATCATGGTCAAACAGAAGGAGGATGGAAGTGTTTTTCTCCAGGGCTTAATTCCTGAGCCAAATGCCTGTTTTGGCAAGAGGCCTCTGTGGTGTACAGGGGTACGGGGAGTCAACTTAATCTTCTCCAGAACCCAAAGCAGTCTACAGGAGCCCGGGCTAAAATTACATCTGCTCTGGCTTGCCCAAGCGAAGGCTACATGATAGCCAAATGGTGCTGATTTAATGTTTCCCAATTATCAGGAAATCCCCAAGGAGAGATAAATCAGAGGAGGCTGGCCCGCATGTGTATGAGGAGGAGCAGCCAAGGGCAGCCCCCAAAAGGAAACCATCCCCAGAGGGCTGGTGATTGTCCAGGCAGAATCTGAAGGCACATATGTCAGGAGAAGGCTGGATAGTAGCCAGCACCAGGAGATGAGATCTGTTAGTAATTCTCTGGAAGGACAAAGTTCCAGCAATAAGAAATTCAATTTTCTTCCATTAAAGAAAGCATCTCTCAGTACCAGCTGAATACAATTGATGGAATAAATCTTTCCCATTAGTGGAGAGATAATTTCACATAAATGTATTGGGAGACCTTCAGAGCAGGACTGAGAGTCTTTGCTGAGCCTCACCGCTTAACTTGTTTGTCATGTAATTGCATTTAGACCAAGGGCCTCCGAAGGAAACCACTGACTGAATTAGCATTAACCAGATTGTGTATAGAGAGGTGAGGTGGGGTGGGGCAGGGCGGGGTGGGGGAGGGGAGCTTGATGCATTGTGGGTAGTTGTTCTTGCCTTCCCAGAAAACACAAGCCGACACTAACAAGACCAGCTGCTTACAAGCCTGGTGTTAATTGCTTTTCTCATCAAACAGAGAAAAGTTTATCACTCTAGGAAGGTAGAGATGTAAGTACCTAATAAAGCAGAGGCTGAGTCTGAGATCTTTTTTTTATGAATGCCCACAGGTCTCATCAGTAGCTCTTCCCTAGGCCAGAATAAAAGAGCCTTCTGAACCAAGGCGGGTGGAAAAAGTTGTCTGGTTACTTGCGCCTGCGTATTTGCCTCAGATTTGTATTGTCAGTGAGGGCTGTCTCCCTAGGGCCCTGATACCTTAGGATGTTGACCCTGTTGAGCACACTGCCAGTGGTAAACAGACTCATCTAGAATTGGACCCAGAGTTGTGAGCCCTGGATTCGGGGCCTGGCTCCACCACTACCCCGCTGTGTGGCTTGGGGGCAAATAACATAACGTCTGTGGACCTCAGTTTCCTCCTCTTCCACTAACTCAGTGGTTTTCCAGCTGGCTTTTCTCTGGCTTCTCCTGAGACTAAGACTCCAGAGCTGCCTTCAGAATCACCCCAAATCTCTTTTTCATCTAGAGAGATCTTGTTTTTATTTGTTGGGTCCTTATAAAATATCATCTGGTAAAAAGTTTCCCTTTCTGATATATCTGAAAAACCATCATTCTAGATGATCTCTAATTGTCCCACTTATTCACTCAATCCACCATTTTTTCGAAACAATGACCTAGTACTCATTAGGCATTTCCAGGCACTACGGAGAGAAGGAAAGAAAGAGCCCTCGACCCCGCCCTCAAGGAGCTCCTGATCTAGTGGAGAGGAGAACCGTGTGTAAGTGGTAGGGTAGCAAGGTGTTTGTGTCAGGCTTTGGAAGAAAGTAACTAGTGCCAATTAGGGCCATCAAGACAGGCTTCAGGGAAGAGGTGTCATTTGAAGCTGGGTCATGAAGGATGGGAGTGTTGGGGGAGGGGTGCAGGAGTGACATCTGTGGCAGGTGGGAGAACACTGCACAGACATGGAGGCCTAGGCTACATGTGCCTGGCAGGTTTGGGGAAAACAGAGGGTGTGTTGTCTGGAATATAGTGGGAAAGTGGGAGTGGGGATATTGGGAGATGCCAAAGGTTCCAGAACCCACTCCAGGGGGATGCTAGCATCTGTCCTTCTCCTGTTTCTAAAGCCCGAGGAGAGGAATTGCTGTCTATCCTGTTCTCTTTCTTATATGCCCACCTCCAGTGAGCCTATTAGCAACAGTAATAACCACTGCCATTTATGGAGCTCACTCTGTACCAGGGTACAAAAACAGAGGCTCAGAGAGCCGTCACATACTTTTGCCACTTTAGAGAGCTCGAAAGTGACAGAGCTGAGAGTTGAACCCACATCACGTGACTGCAGATTCTCAGGCAGGACTCCACCGTGCAGCCCTCTTGTATCAGCTTATCTCCTTACGGTATAACACAGTATCCTTAGAGAATGACCTCTGAGTAAGGTATCTGAAAACATCTCCCAGGAATAAGGCTTTCAAGGACACTTTGATGTCTTAAATTGGGGCACTATGAAAAAAAGGAGGTTATTACTCCTCTTGAGTGAAGACGATGAGCCCCTGGGTACCAAGATATGTCTGAGCAGCCTGCCTTCTGTCCTCTGGCCTCCAGGGCTTCCCTGCCAGCCAGGGTTCTGAGCATGCAAAGCAGATCACGTTACTGTCTCTTCTCTACCCACAGGCATGCTTGTGTCATTCGTGGTCAAGTGATGACGTCAGATGGGACCCCACTGGTTGGTGTGAATATCAGCTTCGTCAATAACCCTCTCTTTGGATACACAATCAGCAGGCAAGATGGCAGGTAGGAGACCTTTTGAGGAGCAGGGTTAATGATGGTCCTGTTCTCATGGCCTTGCCACACGGCTGCTGCTGGAATGACCAATGTGGAAAGAGGGTGGGACCTGAGTTCAGAGGCCCAGCTCTGGAACTCACTAGCTGTAAGACCTTGTATCTGACTCTGGCCTAAGTCCCTTTGGCTAAAAATTAAGCAGTTTCTTCTCATCTGGTTCTCAGAGTAAGTATAGGGCACCTTATACATACTATCCTGCTCCATGGCTTTTAATATCAAATACTATCACATGGACCACACTTTCTACAGACCAGACAAGTCCAGAAATGTTATCATTCCTGCTGTGTGGTTTCCACGCACAACCACCTAGGTCTGTGGAAGCCACTGGGTGATGACACAACTCTGCCCTTTGGGTCCCTGTGAGAACCGTCTGTAGAGGGAAGTAAAGATTCTTTAGTCATGCTAGCTCTTCCGTTTGCTGGACAGTTCTCCTCACCTCTCAAGGCCTCAACTTCTTCACTGGTGAGTGGTCCTAATACTAGCATCTCACAAACTGGTTGTAAAGATTACGTTCCGTGATTGATATGGAAGCACCTTGCACATAGTAGGTGTTTAATAAATCTTACTTTCCCTGCCCCACCCTGGCTCATTGCTTTATGCCAGGGTCTGGCACAAGGTAAGGATGCAATAAATATTAGCCATTTGTTAAAATTACTAATTATTAAATGATGAGAAGGTGCTGAATACGGTACTAGCCAAGGGAATATTTTGGAGAAAAGGGGAACGGAAGGAGGAAAGTGGAATATTTAGGCTGTCAGTGGTGACAGGTCCCCGATTTTTAATAAAATCAGGTGGTGGCAGTCCATCTGGCTAAGTGTGGGCCCATAAGGTTGATTTTCACTCTGTGTTGGAAATTATGCTCCAGCCTGATTGATTTTAGCACCTCTTTAATCCAATATCAGATGTGAACATGTCCCGGCTGAGGTGATAATGAAGTAGAGGCTCATCTGTTTGTAGACATGTGTGCCTCTTAGATAGCGTGGCAAGTTTGGCGTGGGGAGCCCCGCCCCCCCAGAATGGGAAGGGGCCCAGCTAGAAGGGGCTGGCAGCCGGTCCTGGGAATAATAGGCCCAGCCCAGACCATAGCCCCCTGCCCCGCACACATCCCATCCCAGGAAGCACGTCAGTACAGACGTTCGCTACACCATGGGAGAGTATCCTTTCTCATGCTCTGTCTTTACCACCTGCCAGCCTGGGGCTGCCTGCTCTATGGAAATGGCAGATATGAGCATCCTAGGCAACAGGTATTCTGGCCACATCATTACCTGCTGTGAAACAGTCATCAAAAAAGAGCCCCGGGGACTGCTCTTTTTTTGCCATGAAACGTGCCTCTCACTCACGTGAGATGGCAGACTGTCAATCCTTTGCCCTGCTGTGCTGGGTCAGGGTGGTTCCGTAAAACACCCCAGAGTCACGTAAGTTTCATGGCCCTTGGGAAAAGCCCACTCTACCCCCTCCAGGCTTGGATTCCTCCCGTGTGTGCAGCCCCCGTGATCTCTATGGCCTCCTGACTGCATGGGGGGGCCTGGGAGGAAGTGTCAGCCACATTTTGGTCATCAGCCTACTAAATCATGTCATAGGAACCAGAGTTGCTGACACTTAGAGCTTGAGTTTCAAAGCAGTTCTCACCAGTGCTTTATGGGCCTTGACTTTTCTTTCCAGCGTAGACACTGTATCACATATAAGAGAGTCATTACATATTCTCCAGGTGCCTGATAATTCCAGTTTGTTAAGTGTGAATGGGTAGCATCTTGCCCATTTCCCTCCCACTTCCCTGACTCACCTTCTTTCGTACCTCTCACACCACAGGAGAACCCGTAAGGTTAGAGACGTCGTCTGGAGGTAACAGGATATGCAAGTCCGGGGAGCAATTCTACCACAGCTTTGTCTCCCTCACTTTCCAGGCAGGCCCCATCCTACCCTTCCTCACCCAGGGCCCCCTCCACACACGACCATACTGAAATACTAGACATCTAGTCTTAACCAGAGCCACAGAGATCATTAAAAAGATGAAAAATAGCAGTCATGAAGACAAATTTTAAAAGAATAGCAGACAAGAGAGGCAGTTCAGGCTCGTTGAATTGAAAAATAGGGTTATACGGAGCATGATGTCCCGGGAGTGGGGCCCTGGGCTTTTCCCATCCATTATCCCATATCTAATTAATAACTCTGCCAAGTGATTATGATAAGCAGCTTCATTTTACATGAGGAGATTGAGGCTCAGACGGTGACATAACTCACCTATGTTACGTAAGTTGGCAGTGCTCGGACCGGCCTTCAGCTGTCTGGGCTTCATCTGAGAACCAGGTCTTCCCTTTGGGATCGGATTTACACCCATGTCCACAGCCTGGCTCTTGGCAAGATCCAGTTCCACCCAGCTCTTGGCAAGACCAGCTGCCCCCAGCTTGCTCACCACCTCGAGAATCCTTCTTTTCATGTTTGTTTTCACTTCCTCCCCACACTTGTCCTCTCATGAAAGGAGCTTGTAAGTTGGGCCAGAATTCTGTGTGATGGTTAAAAATTCTCTGTCAAAGTACAGATGCTATTCAGTTCTGTGACAGGAAAGTTGTTCTCTGGGTATTTCCGCAAAACCATGGATATTCTTCTAGAGAGCCGAAACCTAAACTCTTGATTCAGAATAAACTCTCTCACTGCTTATTGAAGGATGGTGCTGTCCCACTTCCTCTTCCCGAGTGTGGGTCTAAAAAGGGCTGAGTGGTTTGAAAAGCAGGCCAAGTGGGTAAAAAGCTTCAGCAAAGGACAGAAGAGTCAGGCTCTGGAGCCTAGAAACCTGAATCTGGGGGCACTGTCTACCAAGAGCAGGATTTGGCACCAGATCAGGGCAGTTGTGCAAAATTCCTAGAAGACGGAAGAGCAGACTGGAGCAGTGAGCCCATCCCTAGGGACAAAGGTGAGGTCCTGTGTTAGAGTCTCTAAAACCAACTGCATGGGTGAATGTTGGGGTGACTTATAATAACAGCCAAAGTAAGAAGGAACCCAGGGTGTTTCGTGGACAGTCAGTTCAGAAGAAATTGGCAGCATCACTCATGCATTCATTCGGTAAACTATAACCATCAAGCACGGCACTAGCTTCTGGAAAGACAGAGGAATCATTGTCCCCGGGCTGGAGCATTAAACACAGTATTAGTGGGCCATAAGGGGGAGTGTACAAGGTGCCCTGGGAGCCCAAGGGAGGGAGCTGGAATTCTCTCGGGCCAAGGAGTTAGCAGGAGTTCTCCAATCCAAATAGCAAGATGAGGACAGGGCTTGAAAATGCATCCTATGGATATTAAGGAGGGTATTTGTTATGATGAGCCCTGGGTGTTACATGTAAGTGATGAATCACCAAATTCTATACCTGAAACCAATATTACACTGTATGTTTTGTTTTGTTTTGTTTTGTTTTGTTTTGTTTTAAGATTTTATTTATTTATTTGACAGAGAGAGACACAGCGAGAGAGGGAACACAAGCAGGGGGAGTGGGAGAGGGAGAAGCAGGCTTCCCGCTGAGCAGGGAGCCCGATGCGGGGCTCAATGCCAGGACCCTGGGATCATGACCTGGGCCGAAGGCAGACGCTTAACGACTGAGCCACGCAGGCACCCCTACACTATATGTTAACTAACTAAATTTAAATACAAGTTTGGAAGAAAAAACAATAAAAAAAAAGAAAATGTATCCTAAAGTAGTAGCTAAAAGGGCTTTGTGCAGACATCAGAGCCAGGAGGTGGCAGGTGGACAGAACCACTGTTTCTAAGTCCTGAAGGACTTCTGTCAAAGGCAGGAGGGACACCCCAGTTTGAAGTCACCCCAGCAGGTAGAGCAAGGCCCCGTGGCTAAGTAGCTAGATGGACAGGCACCCAGGCTCAATTCCCCCCCCCCAAAAAAAAAGGCCTAACAGTCAGAACTAACCAAAGACAGGACAGTCCTGCCATGGATATAGCAAGTTCCTCATCACTGGAAGCGTGCAGGTAGGAACCAAATGGCCCCTTGGTGGTGATTCTGTAGAAGAAAAGCATCAGACTGGGAGAGGTCCGTGAACGAAGGCTGGGTGGCCGGCTCTCAGGGACACAGTCAGAGATCTCGCCTCAGCAGGGAGTTTGGGGCAATCTTCCTCTTCCCTTTCCCGCTTCACATGTACTGTCATTCTAATTGTGCCCGTCCCTGAATTGCTTAGCCATTTTGTAATTCCAGAGGCCTGTATTGACTCATCTATCATAATCAGAGCTAAAATTGCCGTGGGGTCATAGAATCTTAGTGACTTAAGAATAATCCATTTGAGGGCGCCTGGGTGGCTCAGTTGGTTAAGCGACTGCCTTCAGCTCAGGTCATGATCCTGGAGTCCCGGGCTCGAGTCCCACATCGGGCTCCCTGCTCAGCGGGGAGTCTGCTTCTCCCTCTGACCCTCCCCCCTCTCATGCTCTCTATCTCATTCTCTCTCAAATAAATAAATAAAATCTTTAAAAAAAAAAGAATAATCCATTTGAAATTTAAGAAACAAAACAAATGAACAAAGAAAGAGAAAAGGGGGCAATCAAATTTAAAAAAAAAGAAAGAAAGAAAGAAAGAAAGAAAGAAAGAAAGAAAGAAAGAAAGAAAGAAAAGCCCAGACTCTTAAATTCAGAGAACAAATATTGTTGTCAGGTGGGGCGTGGCGGGGGGGAGGCGGGAATGGGTAAAATAAAGTGGACCAAGATTACATTTATCTTGGTGAGCCCGAGAAATGTATGGAATTGCTGAAGCATTATATTGTACACCTGAACCTAATATAACACTGAATGTAAACTATACTTGAATAAAAAATTAATCCATTTGAACCTTTCCATTTTAGAGATGAGAAAATTAAGGATCAGAGAGGCTAAGCGATGTACTCAAGATCACACAGTATCTCACGGCAGAGGCAGGACTAGGCTTAGGGCTCCTAATAACAGGGCAGGATCTGTTCCAACTTGTCCTGCTGACGTTTCCCTGGGCTTCAGCCCTAAGAGGCCCTAAGTACCAGAAGCAGCAGGGCAGAGGCCCATCATCTGTCCTCTGTCCTGGCAAATGGCTCTCCATAGCAGTGATTATTCATGTTGATTTTGGAAGAATCTCTATAATGAATCATTTTTGCAAAAAAAACAAACAGTGCTTTCTGGAATCTCTGTTACTGTTTGTGGCTTTCATGAAGTCTTTAAGTTTTAGGGTCTCCTCAGCAAGTACGCAGAACTTTGGTGTAATTTTTTGCTCCTGTCCCCCCCCCCGCCCCCGCTCCTCCTCCCCCTCATCGCCTGTCTCCTGCTTTTCCTGCTCCCCTCTTCTTTCCATCCCTCCCCTCCCAAACAGCTTTGACCTGGTCACAAACGGCGGCATCTCCATCATCCTCCGGTTCGAGCGGGCACCTTTCATCACACAGGAGCACACCCTCTGGCTGCCTTGGGATCGCTTCTTTGTCATGGAAACCATCATCATGCGCCACGAAGAGAATGAGATTCCCAGCTGTGACCTGAGCAACTTCGCCCGCCCCAACCCTGTCGTGTCCCCATCACCACTGACGTCCTTCGCCAGGTCCTGTGCAGAGAAAGGCCCCATCGTTCCAGAAATTCAGGTACCCAGCCTTCTTAACTGTATTTCTCCATGCTTTTGTTCCATTGGTGGGGAGGAGGGTCTCAGAGCCGGGGGGGCAAGGGGGGGAGATCCCATCAGCGCACCCTGCAGAATCCAGCTGCCAGGCCCCACAACACCCTCTTACACACTTAAAACACACCAGCACCTGAAGGTGCCTGGCACACTCCAGCACAGAGTGAATTCCTGCTCCCTTTCATCTGCCATCCAGTTCCCTTCCACTTTCCTCTACCCCGCCCCCCGCCTCCAATGTCCCCCTCTATCGTAAAAAATATTTATGATGATTTTTTTATGATATTATAATGATAGGGTCTGCCTAGAGGAGTAGGACAGAGGAGCATCATAAGAAAGAGTAAATGAGAAAATGTATATGAGGTGCTTAGCACAATGTGTAGTGCTTAGTAAGTGCTCAATAAATTTTAGCCAGTATTATTATTATTATTATTATTATTACTATTATTATTATTTTACATACACTGCCTTCATGCCAGTCAAGGATTGCTTTGGCTCAAGTCTACATGCAAGCGCTTTACTTAATTATCATTAAAAGGAAGTAATTCGGGAAAAGATGCATTTTAATGGAATGGAAATCAAGCTAGATTCTTTGCCTAATGGAGCTGTGCAGAGTTAAATGTCACCCGCCATCCCAGCCCAATTTCTCATGGCAGGAACAAATGCCAGGGGAAGAGAGAGACAGCAGGGAGAGGCCCCAGCCTGGCTCGCTTGCCCAACCAGAGCTCGGGCCGTGTGCGTGTTAATGGGTTGCTGGTGCCCGCGGAGCAGGGAGCATAGACACTTTCGTGTGTATGTTCCATGCCTGGCCCAGCAGACACATCTCTGTGAGTGGCTTCAGGCACCAGCGCACAAGAAGGACATACGACCATTTTGAAATTCTCGTTGCACCCACAGGTTGAAACCCTCACTCCTTTTCAGAGATGCAGTGCTTGTCTCCTGTCTCAACTACCAGGCTGACCTTTCCTTTGAAATGGTTGTCAGTGAAGACAGAGCTTGCTGGAGAGAAGTAATTTGTTACTCAACCCTGGTTCAGCTCCAGCTAGACACTTTCCCAGGAGCAGGGACTTAGGAACAAATGAGGTTAAAGGTCCAACCCTCTTCACAGTGCTCCCTGGGCTGGGTGTCTGTGAGCCCAGCTGGGTCACAAACCTTGCTTATTATCAGATTCATGAAACACAAGAAAACAAGCTCCTGGGTTTTCCCAGTCCTATCATTGGCTGGCCTTCGCAAGCACTAAGAGATGTACATTTTAAAGGGTATGTTGAGGATAAATATATATTTATGAGAGCATCAGGATGGCACTCAAACCCTACCCATGGTTCACGGGGGTAAAGAGCCTGCTTTGCCTAGAACTTGCAAGCTGCTTTTTAGAAAGATTGCTTTGCTTTAGGCCCAAGCCCTAAAATTTCATGTGTCCAGAATGGGGTGGGGAGAGAGTTCACATCCATCTATGATACAAAATGGACAGAAAGGAAAAAGCTTTCTTTGGGAAGGCCCAGTTTCTCCATGAACACAAGAATAGAATGATTCTTTTGTCCTTTTAAAGGATACATTAGCCTCAATTGATTTAACGTCCCCTTCTTGAAACAGAGCCCAGAGCATCAGGCTGATAAAAGTTCTCTGCTCTTGCCATGTGCCTGAGCATCCTGGCATTGATTTTCAAGTTTCCATCTTGGAACTGAGCCCACTGCACCCAGTAGATCAAGTGCCGCCTTCCCCACCATTCTGTTCATCTAGCAGTTTGGTGAACCGGGGCACAGAAACTCCATGCCGCCAATTCGACCTCTTTTCGTGGTGAGCTGGGGGGGGCTTCGGCCACAGGTCCTCGGCAGGCTGTGCTCTCAACGCTGCATAATTATTTGGCCAACCTCTCACGGTCTCCGTTTACTTTCCCGAAGAGGACATCCATTGGAGGCTCTCACTTTAGGGAAGTTTTGAGGGAGACACTACCCCTCCTGCTGAGGCAGCTGTCCGCATTAGTCGGAGGGAAAGGTCTTTCTTCCTATTCTCTCCGGTCCCAGCACCAGCACCAGTAACAGCACCGTCGTCCCACTTACTGAGCCCCTGTTATGAGCTGGGCACTTTCTGTAGGTGACCCTACTCCGTCCTCACACCGGTGGAAAGGAGAGGAAACTGAGATTCAGCGGCTTACATGAGTTTCTCGGATGACATCCCCAGTGAATGAGAGGCACCATGACGATAAATATTGTACACGCATTATCCTGTGCGTTCCTCTCAGTAATGCAACAGGGTGAGCATCCTCGTCGCCGCTGAATGGGGGAGAAGCCAAGGCTCACTGAGGCCGGGTTGTACCACACGGAGCTGGCCCCCGGAAACCAGGCCTTCCACCTCTTGGTTCCCTCCTCCTCCTGCTCCTCTTCACACTCTGCCTCCCCCGTCTTCCTTCTGCTCTCTTTTCTAGTTCCTGCTCCTCCTCCCCCCTCAGGCCCCGCTCTCTGCTCCCTCCTCCGCCTCTCGGGCACCCAGAGCGCAGGGGCCTGACATTTCCCCTCCTCCCAGGAGTCCCTGACCATCACTTGCTGTGTAATCTGTTTCTCTAGGCTTTGCAGGAGGAAATCGCTATCTCTGGCAGCAAGATGAGGCTGAGCTACCTGAGCAGCCGTACCCCTGGCTACAAGTCTGTCCTGAGGATCAGCCTTACCCACCCTACCATCCCCTTCAACCTCATGAAGGTGCACCTCATGGTGGCCGTTGAGGGCCGCCTCTTCAGGAAGTGGTTTGCTGCAGCCCCAGACTTGTCCTATTATTTCATCTGGGACAAGACAGACGTCTACAACCAGAAGGTGTTTGGGCTCTCGGAAGCCTTTGGTAAGCATCTCAGGCGCAGGATTCAAGGCCATCCCCAGAGAGACAGTAGCACTTGGGGGCACGGGGCTCTTTCTCCATCTCCCTTGTTTCTTCTTCCTCCCTTCCTCTTCTCAGAAATACCTACAGCTTAGTTGGCCTCCAAGTCTTTTCAGGGACCATCCATGACCTCAAAGAATGCACTCAAAGACCTAAATGTAAAAAAGTTGATCATTAAAAAAAGGGGGTTACAAAACCAAAAGGGCCCTTGCAAAGCACTGTAATGGTATGTGATGGGTGAAGAGAGGCTTTGTGCCACAAAGATAGAGCTGTGTGGGCATTGACCCGGCCCCCTCACAACCATCTGGCCCCAACGCGCCCATTAAAAATGTGCGAGTCTGGAGCTCCCAGGCTTCCTCAGTTGTTTGAGATGCAGGAGCTAAGATTCTTTCTTCATCAGAAAGGCTTATTTGTCTCTTTAGGTCATTTACAGTCAGGGAGGTTCTCTCCTTGTTGCTATTTTTAAGATGAAGCAGAAGGTGACTGTGGCCTCACGTGGGTGCCAGCCCCACTGAGACGTCGGCCTTCAGGGGCGGGCTGTGCTCATTCCAGCTTCCGTATAGAGCAGGGTCCCAGGAAGGGTTCAGAGCTGGACTGCTGGCAGACCTACCCCCTGCAGGACTAGTCCCCCCCCTCCGCCTGCAAGCATGGAGAGGATTAGCCCAGGGAATTCCTTCTCATCTTGAACCCTGCTCCAATGTCATTCCCCTGCTAGATTCAGCAAAGGCAGAATGAGGAAGCAGAGGAGAAATCATGTTGTAAAAGAAAGAAAAAGGGAGGGAAGGCAGGCAGGTAGTCATGAAGGGAATGTGTGCAAAAGGAAGCAGAGAGGTGAGGGGGCTCCCCAAGGACGGATGAGGAAGGAACAGAGCTGGACTCATCACAGACCTCCCCTAGTTTGGCATCCCACCCTACCTCGCAAGGGCATGTTGGCAGCAAAGATGCCGTCTCTCCATTCACTCTCCCTTCTGCAACTCAAACTACTTCTGGGGTCTCTTCAAAAACAATGAAACCTCACAAACTCTTCGGGTGAAATGAGTATCCTTCGTGTCACCAGCCAGGGAAAAAGGGAAGCGTCTGCACAGTGGGACTTCCAAGGGCAGAGGCTCACTTTCCTGAGCTGACAGGTGACCAGGAGGAGGCGGAGAGGCTGCTAGCACAACTCAGCACGACTCCTGCTTACAGGGAAGATGTCCCTGTGGGCATTCCCCTCCTGCCGTATTTGGCCAGCAACCTTTTATGGCACCTAGGGCAACTTTTTCAGAAGCTGCCCAGTTGTTAATTCCTGCCTTGAACATGTGATAGGATATTGCCCACTTGGCGAATAGTGTCTGCACAGGAGGATACTTGAAAGAAATGGTATTCCTGTCTCTGCTAGATCCTTTCCATAGGACAGTTACAGGCTTTTTTACAAACCCAGGCTTGGGACGCCTGCCATGGTTAGCCTGCATCCTGGTGCCCTTCCAAGGAAGCCTGGATTTATGAAACAAAGTGAAGCCAGGGGATTTTCAAGCTTTGAGACCTCAAAGCAACTTCCAGCTTTCAAAGTACCTAACTGAGCTCCTTTTCCATGTATTCATTATAAACAATATTGAATTTTTTTCTCTAGTAAAGTAATATCATTATCATTCATAAAAATTTGATAAGTGGACAAAAATGTAAATAAATTCATATATGTTTCTCTAAATAATACCTCTACTTGTTAACATTTAAATTTATCTTCTTCCTTTGTGTATAGTTATTTTGTGTGTGTAGATTTTTTTAAGCACAGATATAATACTGTATATAACCAGTCTTTCCAACTTAGCATTATTCCATAAACATTTTCTGTGTCACCCCATTATCTTCATAACCAAAATATCTAGTGGTGGCATAATATTCCTCAAGGGGGTACACTCTGATGGGCTCAACCTCTAGCCCCTTTTGAACTTTTAGATTACTTCCAGTTTGCACTATTATAAATAATGCTGCAGTGAAGATTTTTGTGCCTAAAGTATTTTCCATACTAGAGGATCATGTCCCGGGAATCCATTCCCCTGGGTCCTTTTTAAGGTGGTTAGTGGATTTCCTTTAACTTCTCCTAATAATGCACAATTGCTCTTTGAAAAGAGGATATTCAGGCTCGGCATCTCTGGGCTAGTACTGTACATACATCTGGTTCCCGCTAAGAATTAGGATTCTTTCTCCTTTCCTACAGAAGATAAGCCAGAGCCTTGCATGCAGATCAAAGCCAAAGCAGAGGCTTTGCTCACCCGTGCATTTTGCACCTTTTGTTTTCTACAGTTTCTGTGGGCTATGAGTATGAATCCTGCCCAGATCTGATCCTCTGGGAAAAAAGAACAGCTGTGCTGCAGGGCTATGAAATCGATGCTTCCAAGCTGGGAGGATGGAACCTGGACAAACATCATGCCCTCAACATCCAAAGTGGTGAGTGCGTGAATAGAATTCCAGCAGCCAGGCCACGGGTGTGACCCTGGTCTCATATCCTTCATGCCCTGCCAGATAAAAAAAAAAAAAAAAATGCACACTTCAAATTACAGGGGCTCACGTGTGATCAGTTGTCCGAAGGATTAGTCAACAGAGATGTTCCTGGGGAGCCTGCTTTGTGCTTGTCACTGCTGTGCACTGGGGATGCAGAAATGAAAGGCCTCAAGAGTTGACACTCTGGTGAGACACCAGACACTTCCCAGGCGGTCTCCATGCGGTGCCATCCCACACCGCAAGATTTCACACAAAGCTTTGGTTTCTAGCAGTAAACATGGAGTTACATTCGTCCGTCTCCTATTAAACAATCTTGTGGCCACTTTGACATAAGCTTCTTGATACATATATCAAGTAGGGAGAACATTCTAGGCAGAAGGCACAGTATGTGCCAAACAAAGCACAAAAGCCTGAAAGAAGAATAATTGGAGAGAAGGTTCACTGTGGTTTGAGCAAAGGTTGAAATGAAGGCAAGAGCAAAAGCCAAAGCTGGGGCTGGAGCAGCTAGAGGTCAGGCTGAGACGATTAGGACTTTGAACTTCATCCAGAGGCAGATGTCAAGCCTGTGAAAGGTTCCAAGCATGCAAGTGACACAATCAGCTCTGTATTTTAGATAGCTCACCTTGACTGTGGTCTGGGATGGGACAACGAAATACGATAATGATGTCTCCCACCTCATCTGAAAGTGCAGTGAATGCCTATCAAAACCGCCATATGGTTTAAGGAAAAACCGACAAACTGATTCTAGAATTTATGATAGCATGAAGATTTATCAATAGCTAAGGCAGCCTTTAAAATAAGAAAAAAGAGGCACTGCCCGATATTCAGCTATCCTAGAAAAACCACGGTCTCCAGTACTATGTGGTTCTAGCACCGGAGCAGATAAATGGACTCTATGGGACAGAGCAAGGCGTTCAGAAACTGACCTGTAAGTAGTCAGGAGGACAAGTTTCAGCCAAGCGCGTCAGAAAAGCCAAAATAACAGAATTCCAAATGAGTTAAAAGTTTGTTTCTCATTCAGCTCCGAGTCTGGAAGGAGAGAGCCCAGGGCTGACTTGGCACTCTGCGGGGTCAGAGGTCCGGGCTCCTCCCCTCCCATTGCTCTGCTCGCGCCTCCAATCCCAAGGTGATGGTTCAGGGTCTGGCCTTCATATCCATGTCCCAGCCAGCAAGAAGGAGGAGAAGGGCTGAGGGCAAGCCCTTTCCATTGCAAGGACACCTCCCAGCAGCTGCCCACCCCACTTCTCCTTCCACACCACTGATCACCCGCCAAGTGTAGGCAGCCCTAGGTCATCCTGTGCCTGGCCAGACAGTAGGGCTTCTGTAGCTGCAGAATAAGGATGGGGACAGGATGGATCTCTGTGGATGACCACACCATGCATACATAGGAACTGGTCCGTGACGGGGATAGCCTCAGGTATCGGTGGAGGATGGATAGATATGGTAGAAACTGGCATTGGGAAAACTGGCTCAATGGGTGGAGAAAAGTAAAATTAAGTTCATACTAAATACAAAGTAACTAAGGTTAATTAAAGATCTAAATTTGAAAGATAACACTTTAAAACTAATTGAAGAAAACATCAGAGAATATCTTTATGATCTCAGAGAAGGATTCCCTAACACCAAAAAGAGCACAAATGTTACGGTAGCAAAATGATTGATTAGACTATGAAAGAATGAAAGATACCTGTTTAATAAAGGACACAGCTAATAGGTGACAGCCTGGGAGAAGATCCTGGTGACCATAAACCCAAAACTCAGGCTTCAGTATGGAAGAGGTGAGGTCGGAGGCAGGGAGTCCAGTTTGGAGGCTGTGGCAGTAATATGGGAGACAAAGGTGAGCTGGGCCTAAAAAGAAACAGTGTGGGTATGGGATGAAGCCTGCAAGTCACTGAGCTCAGTCCCTTCATTTTGCTGGTAAGGAAACTGAGGCCCAAGAGCAGGTAAAGCAGTGGGGAGTCCTATGCAACATCTGGGATCAGTCCATTAGGAGCAAAACCAGATAAAAACCCAGGTCTCTTGACTCTACCCTGGTGAGAGGAGACTGAACTTCGCTTGTACGTTTCTATAAACATTCATTGGGATCTACTGTGTCCAATTCTGCGCTAGGCGCTGGGGGTACAGAAAGGGAAAAGACATGTTTCCACACTTGAAATGGTATCAATCTAAAGAGAGAAAAATGGTAAGTGTAATAAAAAATGCACACTGTGATAGAGACAGGGACTAGGCGTGTACTATCTGAGAAGCAGTGAATGATTCAGGGCCTGGACTCAGGAGCGCTTCTGCTACCACCTGTGTGACCTCAGGTGAGCCACTAGCCTGTCCCTCCACCCCCCCCCACCCTCCCCTCCCCCCATTAATACAGAGGGGATCATAGGACCTATCTTAGAGTCGTTGTGAGCATTCAATCAGAAAGGCAGGATGGCCTGTTCGGGACATTCTGGGTGTTATGAGGGGGGTGCGGCAGCCTTGGGGTGCGAGTCTGGAAATGGTAGGCAGAGATCTTGCATTCTTTGCAGAATCAAGGGGACTCTGTGGTTGGCCACAGAAGAGGGCCATTTCCTGCTCCATCGGTGATTCTGCCCTTTTGTCCTTGTCCCAGGCATCTTGCACAAAGGGAATGGGGAGAACCAGTTTGTGTCTCAGCAGCCACCTGTCATCGGGAGCATCATGGGCAATGGGCGCCGGAGAAGCATCTCCTGCCCCAGCTGCAATGGCCTTGCTGATGGCAATAAGCTCCTGGCCCCCGTGGCCCTCACGTGTGGCTCTGACGGGAGCCTCTATGTGGGAGACTTCAACTACATCCGAAGGATCTTCCCCTCTGGGAATGTCACCAACATCCTGGAGTTGAGGTATGTAAGGTGATGCCCTCCTCACACTTCTAACAGCGTCCCTTGGCCATCCCGTGGGCCCACCGGGCATTACCCACTGCACCCAGAAGAGGGGACAGACAGAGCCTCACCTGTCAGAGTCCATCCGGGACTTTTCACTTCCCAGCTCAGGGGCTGAACTATACACTGGGGAAGCAGGTGCTGTTTTCCACGGGGTACTGCAACGAAGACAGACCACTTGTGGGACAGGGGGATATCCTTGGCGCCCAGAAGATGCAAAGGTCTGCTACCAACCAGGAATTAGACTCTGGAAGCCAAACAGATTGGAATTAGTCCCATGAGTCTTCTTAGAAGGACAAGGACAGCAGGGTGGACACAGCCCCCGTGCCAGTGTTGCCAGGTTTGGCCCTGTTACTAAACACTCATCCGAATTAGGAAGAGTTTTCAGATAAAGGCCCACGAGCTGAAACCAGGCCATGCCTCTCGGCCCCTAACGTGCTGCAGAGCCAGCCAACTCCGCCTTTTCTTTCTCCCCATCCTAACCATGCGTGATGGTGCACAGCCAAACTTAGAGCTCAGGGAAGGGCCTGATGGGTTGCATTTTCTCTAGGCCTCCCTAAAGCAGGTCTTTTTAGAACCAAAGCACTGTCATAGGGTGGGTTCTAGGGTTACAGAGAAGCTGCGATTAAAGACAGGGGAGCCCCACGCTCCCTTTCAGGAGAAATGGCACCAAGTTCCTCCGAACTGCTTTAGGGAAGGGGATCTGCCCGTCTCCTGGACTGGGGTCCATGTGAACAGGACAGGCCCGTGAGCTGGAAAGCCTTCCTCCAAAATGGCCAGGGATGTGGAAACTCACTTTTGTGAGGTCCCAACTATTTGCCCAGTATAACAGTCCTGCAAGATACTTACCATGATTGCCCTTGACAGGCAAGAAAAAGGAGACTTGGGGAATTTAAAGAATCTGCCCAAAGTCCAGCTTCTAGAATGGCAGACCCAAACCCAGAGGGCCATCCATCACACAGCTCTGCCTCACCAAAGAATTGTCACCTGACCCAAGGAGGGCCACTTTGGCTTTAATGCCACGTTAAATTATTCCCTGGAGGTAATTGCCTGCTGACAATTTTACTCTGCAGGATGCATGTGTAAGGAAGGGAAAGCTTGGTGGCTGACCACAGTTGTGGCAGCCCTCAGGAGGAAAGGGTTCATTCTCTCTCTCTCTCTCTCTATCTCTCTCTCTCTCTCTCTCTCACACACACACACACACACACACACACACACACACACGGACAAGTAAAGCAGAGGGTCTTTGGCCACGAGAAGAATCAGAAGCTCTAATTCTCTGGACTCCTAAGAGATGAGATATCAGGCTAAGGAGAACCACTGGTGACTATTCTCTGCCTTTTTGTCTCTTTTATGAATTTCACTGCCACAGACATCTGTTTGCTCCAGTCAACTGCTCACATTGTCTTCCTGTCTCCTAGAATACGATGGAAAGAGCCATCGACTAGGGAGTCAGGCCACCTTAGCAGAGAAGCTGTACAACTTTGGGCAAGACACTTACCCTCTCTGGGCCCCCATTTTCACATCTTCAAATAAGACATCGCATTTTCCCTGCCTCCCTCCCACATTTGAGGGGAGATCATGGAAGACAATAAGCAAGGAAAGGGAGGAGTTAATGAAATCTGGAAAGAAAAATAAATTTATCAATATGTTATCATCTTAATATATTTTCTTCCTGGCCTGTTTCCCTGTTCACCCCCTCCCTTCTAAGTACAGTGTATCTCCAATTCTGTATTCCGTTATGAGGAGGATCACGGTGGGCTTCGCGAGTTTTGAATGCCCTCTGTAGGGCCGTGTGCACGCGGACAGAGACACAGCAGTGAGCGGGTGTATCTCTGGGCATGTGTCTGTGCACGGGGGAGGGAATCAGCTGTTCCAGCCTCTGTCTTAGCCCTGGTGAGGGCAGCGGCATGTCAGCCTCTTCCTCATCCTGAACTCAGAGGTAGTGGTGCCAGAGAAACCGTGCCTCTTCCATGATATGTAGCTGCTTGTAAGTGAGCTCACTGACAAGTAATATCCAATATAAAATAAATCAGTGTCATAGCTGCTAAGTCTTTATTTATTATAGTATTGTTCAGTACCATTGCTGTCAAGTTTTCAGGCTGCTAATAATGCTTCTAACCCCGCTGCTAACACCTCGTTCTTTCTTCTATTCCCTGCTCTCCTGTCTTCTGTCAGAAATAAAGATTTCAGACATAGGTAAGCGAACCAGTGGAGAATTTCCCGTCTCTCCTCTGCCTTGTTGCATGTTGTGTGGTAAGCTGCACGTGTCAATTTCCGCTGGCTCAATAGCAAATGAATCCTGTGCATTTGGAACTGAGTGGGGGTAATCAGTTACCATGAGAGGACGTCATTAAAAATGGTGGGGGCGGGTGGCGAGAGCCTGCACTCCTTCCATCTCTAGCGAAGTGCAGCAGCTACTCTGGTCATCTGTGGACATGACAGACTGAAATAAGAGGGGAAACAATTTTAACCTTGGCATAGTAATTTGAACACCAGTCTGCTTCTCCTTGGGATAAATGAGGACATCATCCTAACTGTGTTGCGTGGCTTCGATGGTCACAGTGGGGGAGTCTTGAGAACATCTCGATCAGGCAAAGAACCTGGAAGAAGACAGGTTTCAGATTTGCATTTCTGTGGGCATTCTGGATGCCTTGGATTTAGTGGTTGGGATACCAGGTGACCCCACCAGAAAGTTTGCCAGCAAGGACAGAGTGGGGGAGGATCTTCCAGACCATATGGACCCCAAATAGGAACTTTGTCACAGTGTAGTTTTGTCATGGAGGCTCACTGTGACACTGCAGCAGGCAGAGAGGGCCTCATCAGACGCACCAAGAGGATTGTCTGCCCGTCAGCACTGCTGTCTTTGTGGCGCTAGTCTGACTCCTGGGGAACGGTCGCCTCACACACATCTGGATGACTTGAAAGTGGCTGTGGGCAGATGGAGCTGGGGCTGCCACAGAGGTGGCTCTCAGTTATCCACAGGTGGCTCCCATCAAACTGGTACATGGGGTAAGTGCTAAGTTGGGATCAAAGAAAATCTTAGGACAGTGGAAGGAGTTAGACAGACCCAAATCCAGTAATGTTTATATCCACACCTATGTAATTAGATGTAGTATTAATTTAACAATCTACCTTTTTTAAGACTTTCTTTATTAGAAAGAGAGAGCACAAGCAGGGCGGAGGGGCAGAGGGAGAAGCAGACTCCCCGCTAAATGCAGAGTCCGGAGCCCAACATGGGGCTCGATCCCAGGATGCTGGGATTATGACCTGAGCTGAAGTCAGACGCTTAACCGACTGAGCCACCCAGACACCCCAATCATATATATTGTTTTAAGGTTATAATAATAATTAACATGGATAGAGCATCTCATGTGTGGCAGAGCGAGCGTTCGGCGATTTACATGGACTATAGCAGTTCATCCCCAAACCACCCTGTGAGGTAGGCATTCTTGCCACACCCAGTTTACAGATGAGAAAGCTGAAGCTCCCCGTTGTGTGACCTTGAAAAAAATCACTTCATCTTCCTAAGCTTTTGTTTCTGCCTGGAAGTGAACAAAGTCACTCTTGGAGGCTGTTTCACGGGTTACAGAGGTTGCTTATAAAGTAGATAGCATTGTGCCAGGCACAGACATGGTTGTTATTATTATTATTGTTATATGTATTATTACTATCATCATAACCATTATATGATGATGATGGCATCTCCATCTTTCCCAAAAAGGAATTCAGTCCTTTATAACCAAAGACACACGTCTTAAAGTAAATTAAATAGAAGTTGAGAACAAAGGAAAAAAGGAGGAAACACATATGTGATTGTGGGTCAAACTAGCCCCTGAACTTCCTGGCGGCCAGAGTAAACAGGGAAACATAATTATTCTCATGGTTTGCATTATCAGAAATGGGAAAATATGCTCCCTTCTCAGAGGGGGGAGTATTTTTTTCCTGACACTGAAATCTCTAAAGAATTTTCAGTGAGCTTCGTATGGATGATACTGAACTGTGAATCGATACATACCCCCAAGTATGTATGTATTGGGTTTTAGAGAGAACACAGAAATACGTTTCATATGAAGATCTGGGGTGAAAACCCAGCATTTCACATGAAAACCTTCAGTCGGTGGTGGTCACTGGCTGGGACGCAGCTGAGCTACAGGGAACAGAGCTGGGAAGAATCAGGAGGCCAGGGCTCCTGTCCAGCTTTGTGGCGCACTCGTCGGATGCCTGTGGGTTTGTCACCCAGCATTTCCAGTTTCCAGTCTCATCATCTGTAAACCGTGAGAGTTGTGATTTTGATGCCTTTTGTTTCTGACGTTTCGTGATCTTTCGATACATCCGTGGCACAATTTCAAAGCCAGCTTCCTGCCCTACCTCAATTCATCGCTTTCTTGGGCGCCAAAAACTACTTCTGAAGTAAACCAAAGTGGAAGGAAAAAAGGAATTTCTTTCTGCCTTCTCCAGTTTCCTAAAGAAAATCTGGCATGAAAGACCCAGGTCCCAGCTCTGATTTTAACTGGCACTTGGATACTGGTAAATCCCTCCCTCTCTACGGGCCTTTGTGTCCCCATTTGTAAATGTCAGAAGTGGCTTAAAAATTCTAAAATGTCCTCTCTGCCCATGAGCATTTTCTGTCTCAGCTGTTCCCAGGAGTGGCGGTCCGCGTGTGTGCTTCCCAGGGCAGTCTTTTCCCTCTCTGTCCAGCCTCCATGCCAGCCCACCACGCAGGGCATACCCAGTCCAGGGACCCCTTGGGCATCTTCCTTGGTGGACCCCTTCAGGGAACGAAGATCCTCATTTCCTCCTAGATCTCTTCCCCAGGGTCGTGGGGGAACGCTTGAAGTCTGTTGTTCCGAAGCACATTTGAACTCAGGTCTCCATCGATCCCAGCTGCACATATTAAGTTAACTCCAACAGAGAGCCCTTTACTACCCCAGGAAATAGGCCTGGCAGGACAATATTAAGTCTGACATACTTGGCTTTTCCATTATACAGTAACATAAATACTCGGAAGGTTTCTCCAGGTAACCAGCTGCCATTTATCGGGCATTTTTATTTCTTAATGGAACAGGCGCTATGCTCAGCGATTTATATTCTTTGTACAATGTTGTCCTCAAAGTAGCCCTTTGAAGTAGTTGTGGTTATCCCCATTTCTCAGATGAAGAAATTAAGGCTCAGAGTAATGAAGTGATTTGCCCAAGGTCACCTACCAAGTTGGTGGTAGAACCAGCATTTGAACCCCTGTCTTTGTGGCTCTTCCCACTGGTTCTAAGAACCAGTAAATCAAGTTCTGCCAGGGCTGCCACCAGATGCAGCCAAAGGATGCTCGTTTGTAGACGTTCCTCTGAGACAAAGGGAGAATTCTCACTCAGAAGCAGGGACTAGAGTGCCTCTGGTCCCTGGACTCCCAGCTCCTACCAGGAAATTCCCCACAGCATCCAGAAAGAGGGCAGAGTGAGGCTTGATTTCAGCTCATGAACTTCAGTGATGACACCCTCAGAGTCTCCAAGAATGTACGTAGCTTCCAGAGGTGCCAAGTTCATGTCTACGGAGGTAGAAAAGAATGTGGGTCCCTTGGTGGACTCTTGGAAACAGAGCTGTGACCCTCCCCTGTGCCCAGCCTGGCCCAAGATGCTAGGAATCAGAGCTGAATCTGGCATGGTCCCTGCTGCAGAGCTGGACCTGGGGCTCCATCTCACGCAGGGATGGTTTTTAGAGTATTCCAAGGCCTTGCTACTCACAGTACAGACAGGCAACCCTGGCATCCTCCAAAAACTTGTTAGAAATACAGGCTCTCAGGCCACACCCCAGAACTGCTGAACTGGAATCTACATTTTAACACGATCTCCAGGTGATTCATGTGCCCATTAAAGTTTGAAGAGCACTGCTGTAAGGCCTCAGTTTCCAGATCTGGCTGTGCCTCGGAGTCACCTGGAGAGATCTTAAAGGTACAGATGCCCAGGCCCTTCAGATGTTGTCAGTGAGGCTTTTCTTTTCCTTTTTCTTTTTTTGTTTGAGCTTCTCTGGTGAATCTGATGTGTAACCATCACCGATAAGCACCATCACTGTAAGCTCCTTGGCATTAGTATTTCCTCTGTACACTCCCAAGGAGGCAAACAGTCATTCACTCGCTGATTCAGAAAGTCAGTAGACCTTTCTGGAACACTTACTCTGCACCAGCCCGGAGCTAAGCAGCAGGACCTTGAAGCTGGCCCTTGCTCTTGAAGAGTTCAAGATGTCATTGAGGAGAACACAACTAAATAGAAAAGTGTTAAGGTGCTCCAGGTACTAAAATTATATTCTGTGGAGGGCCTAGTGATGCCACAGAGGAAGTGGCCAGTTAGCCAGTAGAGGAAAGCGGGGCCTGGGAATCCAGGGATGGCAGTACAGATGAGATGATGCCGGAGCTGGGTCTCAGGGCAGGGTCTGGTGCTCCCCGGTGGGTCAGGGCAGGGTCTGGTGCTCCCCGGTGGGTCAGGGCAGGGTCTGGTGCTCCCCGGTGG